TCTTCCGATCTCCCCAAAACCCCAAAACCCCATTGTTCAGAATTAGTAAGCAAATAAAGGGAATAAAGTTATAAAATAATTCAATCCATTTAAAATGAGTCAAGATACTTCTAATTTCCTTTTCGGACTTATATAAATCAAATATCCAGCTATTAATGCTTTAATTATTGACAAGTAACTACCTTTGTTAGGAAGAGTTAATTTCTCAGTGTCTAAACTTTACTTTCAGTTCTTATTCTATTTGGGATTAGCAAGTTCTAGCTACTTTTTGTTCAAGGGCACACAAACATTAGGTAAATGGTTCATAGACTATGTGAGATCGTGCTACAATTCAAAGAAATTTTTAGCCAGTAAGATTGAAAAGTAAAATTCAGAATATGAAAGATATTACGCAGTCATTTACGGTGCAGGTAATAGAGCAGGAAATGCATTTGCGCACTATTTAGCAACAAAAGGCTTCAATTTGATCTTGATTGAGAGAGACTTAATGCCATTAAATGATGTGGAAATTAGCATTAAGTAAATGCTTAAGAAAAACACACCATAGATCATTAAAATTGTGCTTAATAAGTTTGATCAAGATGCCCTAAGTAAAAATTTGGATGGTACCAAAGACTTGCCAATTAAATTGTTTATCAATTGCAAGAATGCCAAAAGAAAGTGCACGTCTGAAGGGCATAGTAATAAGCTTATTCCTGATTTGAATGATGGTAATGAGTCAGATGATGTAGATGAGATAAAAGATCCTTAGAATACTACTACAGATGTCATCACTAGAGAAGAGGTTTATTTCACAGGGAAAGAGAATATAGAAGGTCTCTCCTGCCTGCTAAATATATATCTAGGCCAAATGATCTAATTATCCTAAAACCCAGCAATTCTGAACATAAATAATGATTAGGACTTTGATGAACACAATATAAAAAAGGGTCAGTTATTTTACCAAGCAAGTGTGAGATTCCAGGACACATTTACTACCCTCTTACAAAGATAAATGAAAGGAGCTATAAAGACCATCAATGTAAAGGCAAACTTCAAAAAATTAAAAGAAGACTAGGCTTAGTAATACTAGATGTGTGAAAAGGCTTTCTGCTACCTTGGAATTAAAGATACTATATCAATTAAATGAAAAATTCAATTTCTGGTTTAATTTTATTGTATTAGTTTTATCTATAATTACTTTAAGTTCTATTAAAATTACCGATGGGGTTTTGGGGTTTTGGGGTTTTGGGG